GTAAATAGTAAAATTATATCAATAAAGTCAATCCACTTGTAAGTACGTTACTCTCCCTCTTCTCACCCAAGGTGAGGAGATAGGAAGTGTCAGACTCTTACTGACCACAATCCTCTGTTCCTTCTCCTGCTCTAGGCCGAGGCTGCCTCATTGCGCTTACCCCGCAACCCCGGCTGAACTTGTAAGTACGTACAACGCTTATGAAGGTACAGTTTTTAATTCTAACAAACAATAAAGCTATAGCAATGAGTTTTCAAAATATGTTTCTTTATCTCTTTAGTTTTATTATATTCCATTTTAGTTCGCATGGTGCTAACTGAAAGTAGGTTTAAAAAAGTTTTGATTATATTTGGTTTAATAGCGACTCCGTTGGCGTGGAATAGTGACTTCCTGCAGATTTTTGCTAATAAAACTATCCTATATGTCCTTTCCCGAGTTCCAAACTATGTCAGTAACAAATTTCACAGAAATCGGTTCAGTAGTTTAGGCGTGAAGAAAAGACAGACAGACAGACAGAGTTACTTTCGCATTTATAATATTAGTTTGATTGTAAGTATGTTCCCTGTAGGGTTTCTGGTTTACAGAACAATTTATCCATTCAAACCGCTGTAGGTATATTAAATAGGAACAGGTATATTAAAAAGGTATTATAAAGTAACTACTATAAAAAATAAAGAACACATTTCTATTCGATTTCGGTAAATAAATATTGACCTTTATATTATTAAGTACTTAATCGAAAGACTTATAAAATAAAACCGCGTCAGTTTTATTTTAGTACATTTGTAATCGATAAAGTAATCGATACAAAACAATATATCGATAATCGATATAGGTAATATTAATACTTGAAATGTCACACTGACAGCGCCACTGACATCACACCTGTCGTTTAATCGATTACATACTAATCGATTAGTATTTTTTTTTCGAACAAAAGAAAGTCTGCAAGGAGGTTAATATCGGAGTCGCTTTTTAAGTATTTTGTGCGTTGTAAGTGAATTTATTTTGTGTTCATTACATAAATTATGGTAAATTCAAATTTATAAAGGCCTAGTTATGAGTTGCATGGTGTAATTATTTTGGCCCGGTGTGATATTATTGTAGCTTTAGGGAAACATTAATTGCTTTTTGGAAACCATAAAGTATACGTATATTTGGTTCTTACAAATTAAGTGTGACTAGTTTATGTGATTATGCTGCTTTTGGAGGGTTTAATAATAGTAATTATTTTGACGTTATGTGACCTCTTTTTGAACACATTGCTGTATCATATATAACTGTCCGTAGCAGTTCACGACTGGATTAAGAACCATTAAACATGAAAAGATTTAACAATCATAACTTCTAATCGTTTTTCTATGCATGTTGTGTTAGCCAGTAAGTAGTTATTGCATTGGCAATTGTATTTCTTATATTTTTGTATCTCATAAATGTTACAGTGTACATAACTGTTGGCCAGCCTAATAAATAAATAAATCTAAGAACATTTACATTAGAATTTTCTCCTGTGTCGTGGGTGCGTTTACAAAACATACAATCTCACATACACATCACACCCAGACCCGGAACAACAATCTGTGGATCACAAAGAGTTGTTCCGTGCGGGTATCGAACCCGCGACACGTTGCGTGGCAGCCAGTTACCCAGCTACGAGTATATGTTTGTTTGTAATATACATATGTAAGTAAATATAGAATTAAAAAAATATTCAACCCTAAAATCGGACCTTCTGCTTAGCAGCCGTTCTTGCTAATAGGTACTAGAACAAAGAAACCCAATAAAAATAGCTCCGTATAATTTTGCATAATTACTTACAGATATTCACTGATGCAAATCCTACACGACCAAAATAATTAAAATGCCCTTTAGATAATAATATCTTCATCCAGCATCCATTCAGCGATGGGCATGGTACCGTCAACAAATCAACAATGGACCAGGAAGAATAATATCCTTCTTATAACAAAACAACCCTAAATACGGTCAGCAAAAATAATAGTTATATTCAAATGAGGGCCAGGTGTCCATTTGGATGTATAAAAACTATCAATTGTATTCAAAGTGCTTTATAGGAATTTCTTTACTGACCCTACTTAATTGAGGCGTAAATTGTCCATTGTTTATTTTTTTTTATAGGAATTTGGACTTTATTATTTTAGGGGCCGGTTTAGTTTTCAGTAGCAATTTAATGTACTGTTTGTAATAAGTTTTAAAAAGAAGGTAGATTAAATAACCTCTCACGAATTAAAACATGTTTAAAATATTTTTTATTTGGTAATTAATTTACGTTTCTAATTTCAAAATATAATAAATACTTGAAAAAAGGAAACTACTAAATAACAAAAAACTTACAAAAAAGTATAAAATCTAACAGTTCTATTTTTGAAAACATTCAAATTCAAAACCGTTCTTCTAAAATATTCACGTAACCGAAATTGCAACCCGAAAAAAACAAGCAAGCATTAAAATCTGCGCGCAAATCAAGAAAGGGTTAGTTGTCGGACAATATGACCCCTACTTATTGACATTCGCATAATTACGAGGGTTAATAGCACAGGGCCGTTTTGTCCCATTCAAGGGTCAGGTAAACAGCTGGGCCCTATTACAATGCACTTTAATTCGGCCATATTTGACCTCCAAATGAGGAAGCACATTCTATAGATATGCTATGAATGGACAAAAAACTGTTTAGAATTTCGTAGGATTATTTTGGACATCCCTTTTTTGTATGAGATTGGAGATAGTTTGGATAAAGAGATTTGAAAAATATTTGCACGTGGTTTTGGAACTGATAGTGTTTTTTTTTTATATTTTCTAATAAAAATTACATATCACTTGAGGGCGAAGTAAATTCTGCACTAAATTCTATTGTCGATTGGCTTACATCTAATAATCTTTTAATAAACTTAGAAAAAAGTAACCTAATGTTATTTAGAAATAGAGCTGTACCGTCATCAGACTTAAACATTAAATATTTAACCAAGACAATTAGTGAAGTTAAAGTAGCAAAGTTTTTAGAATTAATGGTCGATCACAATTTAAATTGGAAAGCACATGTGGAGAATGTGTGTTCCAGGTTGAATACGTTCTCATACATGCTATACATGCTTCGGAAAACTGTTACTGTGCCAACCGCTGTGACTGCCTACCATGCTTACGTAGCATCTACGTTAAGATATGGCTTAATTTTTTGGGGCAACTCAACAGAATGTGAGGCCGCATTTAAGTGTCAAAAAAGTGTATACGAGCAATATGCAAACTAAAGGTAACGGATAGTTGCCAGTCATACTTCCGAAAGCTGAAAATTTTAACCCTGCCATGTCTATATATATTCGAAATTGCTGTTTTTGTTAAAAGTAATATTCAGATGTTTGATAACCTTACTAGTAATAGATATAGAGGCAAAATTAGAAGTATGCCTAGTAAATCTGCCTTAATGAATAAGAGTGTGTTTTGCATGTTATCCAAAATATACAACAAATTGCCTCGTTGTATTTCAGAAATTGAGAACCTCAACATGTTTAAATTGAAATTAAAAGAATTTCTTAATGACAAAGTGTACTATAGTGTGAAAGATTATCTTGAGGGGAATCCTTATGGTCAATAATTTATTTGACATTGCTTGTGTGACATTTATAATTGACATTTACCTTTTTACATTATATAAATATCTAATTTGACATTAATTTTTTGACTTCATTGGTATCAATAATTCTAGTTTCTTTGACATTAATGTATTGTAACAACGAATAAAAATTCAATTCAATAAACCTAATTTTATTATATAATTATTTTTACAACATATCTTGCATGCCAAGTGAAGGCAAAATATGGAGAAACGAAACTTTGTTAACATCTATATATTATGTACCCATGTTTGCAAATGATTAAATGAATATGAATATGAATATATTTTTTATGGGATAGGAAACAAAATAGGTAGCTCTCACATCACCTGATGTTAAGCGATTAGCGCCTCACGTAGACGCGTGTCCTCAAACAGACGTCAGAAGACTGATGGTAACCACCGTTTAACGGTATTTCTACATCCTACACCACTTATCTTAATACAAAATCATTTCACATTCGCTGTATGGAGTTTCTGCCAAAAAGATACTAAGTTCAACTAAAAATCGCGGGTATCGCTAGTTTCGAACCACAGAGGGGTCTGTGGTTCCCTCTGTGGTTCGAAACTTGTAGAGCTTTTCTCAATATAAACATGAGTAAACCGCGATTGTTAGTTGATTTAGTACGTCTCACGATAGTTATTATAAAAACAGATACTTAGTTGTTTTTTATGTGACAGGGCAGCAAAAGAAAAGACGTATTACCTAATGGTTAGCAATTGGCGCCGCCCATGGACACCACAGGAGTTAGGAGTGCTTTGCCGACCTTTTCGGAATTAGAGTTGCGGAGGTTAAGGGATTGGGGAAGTATAGGTGTCCAGTAAGCACAGTCACAGTCCAGACAACCTATTCGTACCGAAGTATGGCTCTCCCATACTGATAAGTTGATCAAGAGTATTATAAATTCGGTAGGTAGGGGGTTCGGAGGTAGGTATGAGAAGCCAGTGCCATACACTCCGGGTCACCATGAAAGTCTATAAAATATAGTAATTGAATAAAAAATAGTCATTAATAATGACCTCATCAAGTATAATCTACATCTCATTAACAATTAATAGTCTAGCGCCATCTATACAGCTGTTTCGAAACTTTGGCAGCGCCATCTGTTTTCGTATTCATAAATTGTAACAGCCTAGTCAAAAGTTCGGTTCGTAACTTAAAAGAGAGTTGCTTGAATGCCAAAGATCGTTAATAGATGGCGCTAGTCAAAGGAAGAGGCGAATTATACAAGATTTGCTTCATAATATTTCAATAATAATATATTTTTATTGAGTAAAGCCATCGTTATACTAACGAAATAATTGTAAACCTGAATTATTGAAGTAATTTCTGTTTGCTTTACTGCGTTTTCAATTTATATATAAACTTAAGTTACAGAGATACATAACAGATGGCGTTAGCAGTACGTATAAAACGCCACAAGGATTTTTAGCACAATTGAAAATTATCAACATTAATCTTGAAAACAAAATAACTTAACTAAAAATATGACAAACTAGTCCTCTTACTCAAATTCAATTTTGAATCATAAAACTCGTATTCCTTTTTCAACCCTTTCAAACCCATGAAATACGGAAAATTATTAGACGTAGCCAAATAGAAAATGCCGTGGACACTTTTATTTGTGTTCAGACCAACGACATTTGTGACGGGGGGATTTTTATCATAGCAATCTTTATTTCTTGCTTCTTGAACAGAGTCACATTTCATAGCAATAAAACTGTTAGGGTTTAACAAAGCTGCAATCCAGATTGTAAAAGCCCGAATGTGACTGCAAAAGACGTCACAAGGCGCCCAAAACAAGTCTCCAGGTTGGAACTCTCCTCCATTGACGTAAAAGTTGACATGGCCGACAGGAGCGGCCATTCCATAAACATCAATATTCGTATTAATTACATCTACGAAGTCCGCGTCGCTTTCGTCCAAACGGTCGTTTGGTCCTAAGTTACGGAAACAAGGACCAGATGGATCTAAGCCAGTTAATCTTGATATTTTTATTCCTGTTTCCTGCTTATAGTGTTTGGCTATGAAACTCATTGTTTGCCCTCCAAGGCTGAGACCTACAAGTTCTAGTTTTTTTGGATCTAAACCATATTTTGTGAGGGTGATCAGCATTTCTGCCGCGTGTTTTCCTATCGTGCGCATGTTGTTCGCCGCTCTGAAATAAAAAAAAAAAAACATAAGTAGGTACACTTATAAGAAATACTTTTATAACTTAGAATGGGATAATTTAGAAAGATAACAAATATTTACTTAGTTATTCATAGGTACTTAGAGTAACAATTCGCATTGGAAATCACCAGTTCCTTGGATCAGGCCCAATTAATCTGTAGCATCCCATCCCATCGCCTAATATTTTTCGTCGTCGTTATAATCGTTAAGGCGACTATGGCAGCCCAGCCGATTTGCTTACTTATTTTTCATTTTTATCTGTAGCATGAATGTGCATTAAAGGTTCAAAAAGTTTTTACTAGATGGCTCTTTATTAAAATACGCGTCAATAGGTAGGTAAAACAGTCAGGACGTTGCCGCGCGATATTCGCTTGCCCGCGCGGGCGGGACGATTACAGCTGTCAAACTCAGAGCTAAAGATAGATAAAAAATAAAAAAATCTTTAACCATACTTACACAGGATAAGCCACAGTAGTAAAAGGATTTGTATCCAGTAAAAACACATTGTAACCCAATTTCTTGTACAGAACCCCGATGGACAGGGCGAAGGGATACTGTGGATGGTCCATGAAGCCCCCTACATACATCATGGTGGGTTTTCTCCAATCTATCCAGGGGTCTTTGGATAATTCCTTCATTTGATAGTAATTGTACTTTGTTTTTGGCCAAAGTATTGAGGCTTTTCCTTGGACCGATATGGAGAGCTGTTTCAACTCTGTTGGTGATATGTATGGTGGTGTTTCTGTACCGGGACCTGGAAAAATTTAGTTGGAAAATTTAGTTTTTGTTCCAGGTAAATCATACAGGGTCAAGACAGAAGGTAGGGATAATAGAAAAGAAGACTTCATTGTAGCTTGACTAAAAGAAGACTAATTTTATTCATAGCACACGTAATCCTTGTTTGGGTTCCAGACAAGGATTATTCCTATTCATATCCTACTTATTTCATTGTCAGTTAAATTATTAAGTTATTTACACCTACAGTAAAAATAAAAACCTATATTATATTCCTTTTGTTTATATTCGTTTGTTAGTTTGCTTGTTTAAACACGCTTATCTTAGAATCTGCTAGTAGGTACTTATTGCGTTCCTAAGTATTTAATGAAAGATCATGGTATGAACAATAGGAGTCGGGCAATTTTATTGGTGAACCGCAGTTGGTGAACCTATTCGGAAATAAAAAATACACATGGAATACTTCAGCGGCAAACGTAGGTAATCAGGCCGATGATAAAGATAATATGCAACTGAAGAGTTCAGCTCAAATATTGATCAATCGAACAAGGCAAATACTACAGAAAAACCAGCTTCTATCCTTGAAACACGTTATTATCGACAAACAAACATACGGTAACTCATGTTTGCACGTGCCCACTCATTTCCTTTTTATTTATAAAACAAATAATTATTATTTGTGAATGTACACGTTAGGCGTGTAGTAGGTTATTGCAGGGTAAGCGCAATGAGGCATCGCGGCCTCGGCATTAAGCGGGAGAAGGAACGGGTGATTTTCAGTCAGTAAGAGTCTAACACTCCCTCTCGCCTCACCCTGGGCGGGAGAAGTCAGTTGATGATTTCCCCCAACAAAAAATGCCAGGATCTGCAGACGAAGAGTAAGAGTAGCTCTCCAAAGTCCCAATAAGCCACCATAGATGGGGCCCAGCAGAGCTCGGAGTAAGCAAACTAACCCGGCCGACTCCGGTCCGGAGCAGGAGATGGAATGGGGTGGCTTTTATTCAGTAAGAGTCTCATACTCACTGAAGTCATTTGGTGGTTTAACTCCGGAAAAAAGTTTGCAACTCCTCCTTCTCATAAGGAGAAGGTTTGAACATTAATCACCTTGTTTCCTCAAGGCGGATTGGCGATTTTAAACTTATAGGTAATTAGAAATGATGAATGATGAATGAATGACTTTCCAACTTGGATCAAAAAATATATAATAATTATATACATATATAGGTACATACATTCTGAAATATTATACGTTAGCAGGGATTATAAAAAAAAGAAGTCTAAAAAAGTTCTTGCGAATAGGCATGTGCACTTTTACATTTGTATTTTTTTGGTGAGATAGAACGTCAATCGAGTAACGGATCACCTAATGGTAAGCATGCCCCGGGGCGGCTACACCAGAAAAGTCGCGACTGCATTGCCGGCATTTACGATTTGGCATTTGAGAGTTGGGCATGGGGCGTCCCGTAACCTTACCTTACCGGCAAACGGATTACCTGGTGGTAAGCAATCAGCGTCGCCCATGAACACCCGCAAAGGCGGAGGAGTTACGAGTGCGTTGTCGACCTTTTGGGCATAAGGGATTTGGAGATTTTGGGAAAGGGAACGGATTGGGCCTCCGGTAACCTCACTCACAACTCTTTGGTTATTTTACGCCGGATTTCTGTGAGGCCGTGGTATCACTCCGGTCGAGAAGCCATTTTTTGCCTCAATTGCCGAATTTTAACCTCATTCAATTTTAGTTTTATTTCAAGTGTAGGTTTTCTGTGAGGCTATAGTATCAATCCAATGAAGCCGACAGATTCGTAGCTCTTCCACACTTATTTTAAAACGCAACTTACTTAGGTACTTAATAAAACCTTTGCTTATCACTTTTGGGAATACCAGGGCTCAATGCCATTTGTACATAATGTACACTGTTATTAATAAAACAAATATTATAAGTAAGTGTCACGCGTCATTTTCGCAATACCCCACACCGCACCCAACTTGAAAGAAAAGTACAGTTCGATGACAAATGACAAACAATCCTACTTGCAGGTCGTTAGGCAATACTGAAAGACCTTGTTTTTATATATATGGGCTATATACTTAACTTAGTGAATAAATAAATAAATATATTTATTAACTAAGTTTGACTCAATTTCAATAAAATTAGATAATAAAATCATTCATTGGGTTTTTACTATATTATTCGAAAATATTATTTCTTTTTTTTGAAAAAGTGTTGCCACCAATTTACGATCTATCAAGTGTGGGAGAGCCAGGCGACTGGTGTGATACCACGGCCTTCAGAAAACCGGCGTGAAACAACCACAGCGTCGTTGTGCTTCCCCGTGTGAGTGAGGTTACCAGAGGCCCAATCCCTCCCTTTCTCCCCATCCCTTCCCAATCTTTAAATATCCGAAACCCTTATCCCCTTCGGTAGGTTCCTGTTTCAGATCCAGCGGGAGGAAACGCCCGAGTGTCGTCATTGTGAGGACCACCTATGGGACATGGTGGAGCATACGGTGGCGGAGTACCCTGCTTGGGCTGAGCACCGCCGTGTCCTCGGGGAAGTGATCAGCGGCGACGATCTCTCTCGCCCGGCTTTAGTCGAGGCCATGGTTCGTAGCGAGAGGAACTGGGAAGCCGCCCGTCTCCTCTTTCTGCGAAGCAGTGATGCTCGCAAAGGAGGGGGCGGAGCGCGTGACTTTCGTCCTCGCGCCCCAGCCGCCGCAGTAGGCCACATTCCGGGCGTCAGGGATCGAGAAATTATCTCCGGCCACCGTAAGCGCAGGTCTGCGGAAGTAAGGGTAGTTCACCGCCCGACCAGAACCAGACCCGAGCATACCTACGGCGGGTAGCGTTCCGCGCGCGCCTCAAAGAGCAAATAGACCACCACAGACGGGGCCCTTTAGGGCTGATGCTCAGTCGGGGTTGCGGGGTAAGCGCAATGAGTCACCGCGACCTCGGCCCAGAGCAGGAGAAGGAACGGGGGGTTTTTAGTCAGTAAAAGTCTGACACTCTCTCTAATCTTAAATTTTTTTTCGTGCCTGATATGTATGTTTGCAAATGATCTAGTGCATAACCTGGTGGTAAGCAATCGGTGCCGCCAATGGATACCCGTAACACCAAAATGCTAACGAGTTGCGTTTTAATATTAAGGAATTGGGGAAGGACGGAGGGAGGGGAAGGTTGCACACAGCCCTATGCATGGCGGATTGGCGATTTCAAACTTATTATTAGAAATTATAAGTCCAGATTTCCTAACGCTGTTTTCCTCTAAATAATCATACTTAGAAAGTAATAACTTAGAACTCAAGCAAAGCGCCTTTTTTAAAGATACTTACAATCAGCCAAATAGCCGGCAGGATAACCTTCCAGAGCTTTCGAACTGTACATGCAAGCAGCCTCACACACAAACATTATACACAACAAATACACACTAAACATTATATAACACAAAAATTAAAAAAAAAACTTTTTGGCAAATTAAAACGTCGCGAAACTAACAGTGGTGCAGCAAGAATGAGTACAAGAAAGTCATTATTATGTATTTTTAAGGTAGATTTTGTTTAACTATAGGTACCTACGTACTTAGGTTGCAATACTGATAAAGTTAACCTTGGTGTTGATAAAACTATCTAGTTATTTATATCTAGATAGATAATCTTTGCCTTAAAGATACTGACCACACTATTTGGTTTTGCGTATGTATGTAGGTCATAAGTTACAAGTCTCTCTGGGCCACTCAAAACCTGGGCGAAAGCATAATGACAAAGCAAAAAAGGGTTTTTAGTCAGTACGAGTTTCTCCCCCGCCTTACGCCTCCCCCATCCCTTCCGAATCCTTAAAGATCCGAAACCCTTATCCCTAAAAGGCCGGCAACGCACTCGTGACTATTTTGGTGTTGCGGGTGCTCATAGGTGGCGCTGATTGCTTACCGATGGCAGTGAATAAAAAAGTGGAAGCGATAGATGAATGAATTACGTGATGGCAGCAATCAGCGCCGCCTATGGACTCAACAAACGAGGAGGTACGAGTGCGTTGCCGACCTTTTAGGGATTGCAGATTTGGAGATATTGGGATTTGGGAGATATTGGGGGAGAAGAAGGATTGGGCCTCCAGTAACCTCACTCACACAGCGAAACACAACGCTGTGGTTCACGCCGGTTTTCTGTGAGGCCGTGGTATCACTTCGATCGAGCCGACCCATTCGTGCCGAAGCATGGCTCTCTCTCCACACTAATAAGAAGTTCCCATTATAAGTTAAGTCCCATTACAAGTTTGCTGATTTATCTCCCTAAAAAATTTTTACTGATCGGGACGTAGGCATAGATTTAGTTTTAACTATATTTAACTTCGGTGTAAGCTGCCACCAAAAAAATAATTCAACTTAGAAAACCATACAAATACTAAAGAGTTATCAAAATTATATTTTTGTTAGTCGAGGTCATGGTGCGCAGCGAGAGGAACTGGGACGCTGTCTCCGCCTTCTGTGAAGCAGTTACTGTTATGCTCGCAAAGAGGGAGGCGGACTGCGTGAGGGAGCAATCCTCCTCCTTACGCCCCAGCCGCCGCAGCAGGCCACACTTCAGGCGTCGGAGATCGGGACGGCGAGTAAGGCTCTAGACATACGGACTGCATTTCAACTGCAAATTTGCAGTTTGAATGCAGTTGATACGACTGCAATAGAACTGCAAACCAACCGAGCAGTCCGATTGCAGTTCAGTTGCAGTCGGCGTCCAGTCGTGTATTGGTTGGTTGGTTAGTTGTTTTGCAGTTCTATTGCAGTCGTGTCAACTGCATTCAAACTGCATCCGAACTGCAAATTTGCAGTTGGATTGCAGTTGAAATGCAGTCCGTCTATCTAGAGCCTTAGGGTAGCTTGCCGCCCGACCAGAACCAGACCCGAGCATACGGCGCGTAGCGTTCCGCGCGCGCCTTCCAGAGCCAATAGACCACCACAGACGGGCCCTATTATAGGTAAGGCTAAAGTTCAGCCGGTGTTGGCTAATCGCAATGAGACACCGCGACCTCCGCCTAGAGCAGGAGAAGGAACGGAGGGTTCCTCCCAACGAAGAAGTCGTTTTCCCCTCACAAAAAAAATCTTTATTAAATTTTACTGTTTACTTAATATTTATATTTTTAGACCGACTTCAAGGGTGCTATTTCATACAAAAACTATTACTAAGAAGTCAGGTACCTACCCTTATTTGTAATACTAGGCTAAATCAACCTAACTAATAAATAAAATTAATTGAATGTCTTTGAAATTAAGTGACAGTAACTTACATTCAAGCAATTCTTCAATTTCGTTTTCACACAGCAATCCTAATAAAAACATAACAAATAATAAAGCTGTATTATTGAATAATAATGCTTTGAACATGATTTTTTTTTAAATAAATAAAAAAAATAACCGAATTTACGTCTAAATTTCGTAGTCGACACGCATCGATTCACTTGAATAGAAACTTGGAACTCTTTACATTTTTACGAGATTTTTTTATAGGGTTATAACATTTTTTTATTGCTCAAATTTCGACTAATTATACTACTTATATTATTTAAACGTAATTGTTTGTAAGTGTCGATGTATGGATAGATCGATGTTTTATGTATCTGAACGTGTCTGAATGAAAAAAAATCTGTTGGACTTTGGAGTTGAAGGAGACTCGGGGGAACGAGTTATACCAGTAAGATGCTAGTGTGGGGCTTGACAGTACTTCTGGGATTGCTCTGATAGCCGTGGAATGCCTCTCCTTCCCCAAGCAGCTCAACGCATGTTGCACCCGTGTCCAAGGCGCCATTAATTAAGTTAAGCCAGTCACCCCAGGAACAGGGGCCATAGTTATCATGTCTACCTGTCCATAGCAGCCAAAACCGATAAACTTTTCAGTTTTTACCACAATATTTAACAATAGTCCTGGATCAACCATTGATTGTCCTTGGGTGCACCTCATGATGTGCCTTTACATTTAAGTTGACTGCACTGCACGGTTATGGCGCGGTGGCTGGGCAACTGGCTGCTGCAACGTGTCGCGGGTTCGATTCCCGCACGAAAAAAATATTTGTGTGATCCACAGATTGTTGTTCTGGGTGATTCTAGGTGTGATGTGCATGGAAATTTGTAAATGCAACCATAACACAGGAGAAAATCCAACGAGGGGGCAAAGTTTTTGCAATAAAAAAATATTTGTTCAACGGCCATTTGCAGGTCAGCTTCAGCTCCTCGTAGGCCTTCCGAAGGCCTGGGATCCTGTAGTAAAGGGATAGAAAAAAAACATTACTTAATATCAAACGTGAAAAAAACACACATGGGTCAACAACTCATAAAACTACTAAACAACAAAGTACAAAATAGGGGTTTGGTAAAATCTCCACGCCTGGCCTTCGGGTTGGAGATCGCAGTGAAAAGAGGTTACGGTATTCTCTCTGTCAGTCGCAGTCTGCACAGCCATGAAGTATGATGTCCTGGCCACCCTGTTTTACTTGTTGATGTAGTGCCTTATACATCCTACTATCCTACTTCCTACTAATATTATAAATGTGAAATTTTGTGACAATGTCTGGTATGATACGTTTGTTATTCTTTCACACAAAACGGATGAACCAATTTAGTTAAAATTTGGCTTACAGATAGGTGATACCTTGGATTAACACAGACTACTTTTGTGAAGCCACGGGCGGAACCTAGTAGTGCAGCGAATTTGCTATTAAAAAAACAAAACCGAAATTGCAGAATATTTACTTAGGTACAACCCTATGCGGATTATCTTAGTAATATGTTTTTCCTCAATAAAAGATTCCCGCATGATATTATTATGTATGTACATACATACCTACATATTACATAACCCGCATATTTGACTGTGTTGTTTGTTCAAGATAAGAATAAACTCATATCCACGCACGATGCAGCAGGAGAAGGAACGAGGTCTGTGGTTTTTAGTCAGTACACGCGGCCTGCCCCCGCTTCGCACGGGTCCAACTATCTCGCTATCAAAGGATCACTTTTTCCTTATCATCCCCTCTACTTTTCTAATATTTTCTTTGATAAGAACCTTCTCCTGACAATAACAATCAGGACAAAAAAGAATAAGCAAAATTTGTCCAGGCGTTGTTGAGTTATGCGCTTACCAACACATTTTGCGATCCATTTTTATATTATAATACTAGCGACCCACCCTGCTTCGCACGGGTCCAACTATCTCGCTAACAATGAAAGGGCCCCTTTTCCCAATTTTCCCCTCTACTTTTCTCATATTTTTTTTCATAAGAACCTTCTCCTAACAATAATAAATACAAAACCAAAGGATTTGGCAAAATTGGTTAGGCCGTTTTTGAGTTATGCGCTTACCAACACATTTTGCGATCCATTTTATATATAAGAAGAAGATAAGTCTGACATTCCCTCTCGCCGCACCCAGGGTAGAGCAGGCGTTGTATGATTGTCGCTCCTAATCAAACCGAACTAAAAACTAGATAAGAATTTTAAATAATAGGTAAAGGGTTTATATTACCGTTGCAGAAGGTCAAACAATCAATCACAACTGATTAATTACCTACTTCAAAATAAATTTGTAATAAAATTTTAGCTATAAATTTTAGTAGAATCATTAAATTCAGAATGAAACGTTGAATTGTGATTCGCTACATTTCCATAACTCTTCTTTCATATGTAGAGAGTTGCCAATAGGTATTGATAACTGTCAGAATAACTTTCTTTTGTAATTTTTAATTTAGTATTTTTTTTAGCAAAAAGGCGCCAGCAGACGGCTTACCTGAAAGTAAGCAATAAGCGCCGCCCAAGGACATCCACTACACCACCCACTTACCTAAGTAGCAAATGCGTTGCCGGTCATTTGGGGATAAGGGATTTGAGAATTGGGGTAATCGGGGATACTCGGGAGTTGAGTGATGGTAAGGTTTGGGCTTCCGTTATCCACACTCGCACGACGAAACGTACCTAATACAATTTTTAGGTCATGTCTGTGTTACCAAAGGATATTATACAACTCCAGACGAGACGGCCCATTCTATACAAACCACTGTTCTTCCACACTTGCATTTATTTTAAATAAGTTATCAGTACCATTATAACTTAGGAAGATACCTTCTGGAACCAACTGAAAAGTTTAGCTAACGCCTGATGCTTTTCTTTCCAAAAAACACGCAACACAAATTGATTGCGCAGAAGATTTTATCAGGCACCGGTGAAAGAAAAATAAATTGTGAACTAAAATCATTCCTATTTAATTTTGTCAAAGAATATAATTTTTTTAAAAGAATTAAAGTACCAAAATAATACTAGAGACATCATCAAATCATTTTCATTGTTCTATCCTCTCAACAAATACTCGTATAATATACCTAGATATTTTACCTTTAAGTACGTATGAAAAATAAAACTAATTACAATGATGATTATAATACTCAAAAATTTCTATTCAGATATTAAATTTTTCTTTATTATTTAATATTTCGAAGTTTGAGAGCATGTCGGCGTTGGAAACCTACACAAATTCCAATGTGACTTTTGCAAACGAGCAGACGAATTA